CGAACTCCCGCGATGGCCGTGCACCTTCCTCAGAGAGCAGGGCCTCCCAGGACACTGCCACCCACTCCTTTCCCATCTGCTTCAGGCCAAGGAGTTTGCAGTCTAAAGGTTCAACCAGTCTTCCCACTTCCCTCTTCATTGTCTCTCAAATTTGTTTCCTCTTATTTAATCCCCAAAGTGGCTTCTACTCCGAGAGAGCCATCCAAACCATCTCCAGTCCTTGCCTCTCTCCTGTGGGTGGTTTCCATGACTGAACCAGGACTGACCATGTAGGAAGAGCCCAGTAGCCCCAGTTGAGGGAAGGATGCGTTAAGGGCTGGGGAGCACGTGGGTCCCAGCTGGCTGTGGAGGGAGCACAGCCTCTCCATGCCCTGCTGCTCATTTAGAAGCACTCAGGGCAGTGGTTCTCAACCTTAGCTACACATCAGAATCACCTGGGAATCTTTTTAAAATCCTGATTTCTGGGCCTCATCCTCCAGAAATTCTGTTTCTTTGTTATGGGGTGGGGCCACAACATTAGTGCAGCCAAGGTTGAGAACCGCTGACTCAGTGTAATGCCCAGGCAATGTTCAATGCTGTGTATATTAATGTCTCCTTTCTCTTTCTCTTTACAGAGAAAGTGATGGAGCGTTTGGATTGAAGCATTATGGGCCCTGTGAGTCTTCCTAGGGCCATGGTAGCAAGCCTACTTTGCGGAGGACGCCACTCTGAGCCTTTTCAATGAGGGCGTCAAATTCCTAGGTGACTGCACAAAGCCTTCTGTTCTATACAAGATGGAGTAGAGAGTGTTGGAAATTGTCTCTCAACTCTAAGAACCTAGATTGATTTTCATTCTCCGTTTGATCATTTAATAGCAGATGAAAAACTACCTTAAGCATGTGTTTGATCATATAAAACCTAATGCAACTTACAAAAATCATAAATATTTCAATCTATACAATACTGAATAATATTATCTTTATTAAAAACACAACCTTTTGTTGAGTAATGGATTAACACACATGATTACTTCTGGTAACTACAAGTAACTACTTTAAAAGATTAAAAAACAATACATTCCCTGGGTGTTCATTAAAATTACAGACACTTGGGATCCCCTTTATCCAAAAGAGCCAAAGGCTCCAGAAGAGAGGTCTAGGACTGGAGTTCTAACAAGTACACAGGGTCAATCTTACAATCACGAATATTAGCCAGTATGGATTTGCATTGTAATACATAGGCCTTATCTATCATTGAATGAACTGCAAAGTCTATTCAAAGATATTGTATGATTTCTGAGGCTTGGGGGAAAATTACATTACTTTCTTTGTCACTCACATCAGTCAAGGCAAAGGTTGTTAGTGTACTTGATATAATCCAGATCCAAGGCCCTTAGGAGATACGAGAGGCCCAGTGCACGAATTCTCTGCAGCTGCTACCACCATGTCATCCATGCGAGGAGCCCACCAGTCCTGGGAGGGTCCAAATGTAATCGAGGAAAGGGTTTATCACCTAATCAAAAGCTTTTTTTCGTTAAGGCTATGCCTAATACTTTAAGATGGGTACTACCTAAATGTAGCATGCCCAGAATATATGGAATGATATAATGAAAATAGGACTTGAGAAATGACTGAAGTAAATGACTGGAGAGAAGAGCTTTGAGTATGTACTGATAGGAAGACAGACTATTCATCTTCTACTGCTAACTGCGAGTAAACGTCTGCTCTGTCATGAAAGGCTCTGATGGTTGAAAGCACCATCACTGTAAGTTTTGATTCAAGGCATCAGTGCTTCCCAATGATCAGACCCCTACAGCGTCGGTCACACTTTACCAGGAAGTGCATTTCCCCTCGGTGGGAAGTCTGGGTACATGCTGTCCCTTGAGGAATCTTGTGGAGGAAATCACAGATTGTTTAGATGATCCTCAATCCACTCAGACCGCCAATGGCTACCTGAATTAGGCTCTCAGTCCACGCATTTTGGGTTTAGTTGACTTCACTTTACTCATGTTTGATATAGTGACAGCTGAGGGGTCCCGGGTTCGATTCCGGTCAGGGGCATGTGCCTGGGTTGCGGGCACATCACCAGTGGGAGATGTGCAGGAGGCAGCTGATCGATGTTTCTCTCTCATCGATGTTTCTAGCTCTCTGTCTCTCTCCCTTCCTCTCTGTAAAAAATCAATAAAATATATTTAAAAAAATAAGAAAGCATCATCACTGTAAGTTTTGATTCAGTGCTTCCCAATGATCAGACCCCTACAGCGTCGGTCACACTTTACCAGGAAGTGCATTTCCCCTCGGTGGGAAGTCTGGGTACATGCTGTCCCTTGAGGAATCTTGTGGAGGAAATCACAGATTGTTTAGATGATCCTCAATCCACTCAGACCGCCAATGGCTACCTGAATTAGGCTCTCAGTCCACGCATTGTGGGTTTAGTTGACGTCACTTTACGCATGTTTGATATAGTGACAGACAAAGTAGTATACATAGCAATGCTAATTATATAGATGTTATACAACTTTTATTATCCAAGTAAAAATTCTCACTGTAGAGATAAAACAAGCTAGCCCAGAGAGACGTTATCTCCCCAATGTCACTTCCTCAGTGACATCATTATCTGCACTTTCAGTCCTGCCAGTTGTTGAGGATACGCTGAGCAATGGAGGGACTCGGTCTGGACAATAGTTCTCACCGCACTGATGGGAATGTAAAACGGTGCTGCCACCATGGAAACAGTTTGGAGGTGCCTTTAAAAATTAAGAATGGGCCCTGACCGGTTTGGCTCAGCGGATAGAGCACCAGCCTGCGGACTTAAGGGTCCCCGGTTCGATTCCGGTCAAGGGCATGTACCTTGGTTGCGGGCACCCCCCCAGTGGGGAGTGTGCAGGAGGCAGCTGATCAACATTTCTCTCTCATTGATATTTCTCTCTATCCCTCTTCCTTCCTCTCTGTAAAAAATCAATAAAAAAAATATATTTTAAAAATTAAGAATGGAACTTACCCAGCAATCCCTCTTCTGGTTATCTATCCCAAAAAATTGAGAACATTTATTTGTAAAGATATAGGCACCCCTATGTTCATCTGCAGTATTATTTACGGTGGCCAAGACATGGGAACAACTGGTGATGATTGGGTAATAAAGATGTGGTACATGTACACAGTGGACTACTACTCAGCCATAAAACAAGATGAAATGCTGACATCTGTGGATCTTGAGAATATCATGCTAAGCAAAGTAAGTCAGAGCGAAAAAGTAAAAAATATCTATATATGATTTCACTCGTGTGGATATAAAACTGAAAACAAATGAACAAACAAAAACATATAGATATAAATGGAAAGGACAGAGGTAGGAAAGGGTAAAGGGTTCGAATATATGGTGAAGGAAGAAAACTTGACTTTGGGTGGTGAATACACAACTATTTAGAGACTAGAGGCCTGATGCACAAAGTGCATGCAAGAGTAGGCCCTCGCAGCCCATCCTCTGCCCACTGTTCATTCTGGATTTGGAAGGTTGTTCCGGAAGGTTGTTCTACCATGCAGTCTAATTAGCATATTAGCTCTTTATTATATAGGATGGTGTATTTAAATTGCACACTTGAAAGCATACTTAAATTGCCCGCGACCCACAGGTTGAGAACCAATGCCCTAGAAGATAACTGGCTAAATCAAGAACTTGTCAAACTGATACACCTCAGCCGCGCTAAGATGGCAACTCCCAGGCATCGACTCAATTTTATTAACCAATGGTCTCCCCAAAAATGCAATAAAATAGAAAAAGAAAGAGAAAATAGTTTTCAAATGTAGATGTGCACTAGAATGCCCTGGGGAATTAACACAGAACACAGACGCCCAGACTCTTTAACACAGGACAGGCCTGGGTCTCTCCACAAAACTTGTACAAAACCAAGGAAGGCAGAAGCGGTGAGAGGAGGACGGTCCCTGTTGCCAGCTGAAGCTGACTGTGGATGAGCTGGAAGGTGATGGGAAGAGTAGAGTTTGTATGACTTCCCCCAGAACAGCGGTTCTCAACCTTCTGGCCCTTTAAATACAGTTCCTCACGTTGTGACCCAACCATAAAATTATTTTCCTTTCTACTTCATAACTGTAATGCTGCTACTGTTTTGAATCCTAATGTAAATATCTGATATGCAGGATGGTCTTAGGCGACCCCGTGAAAAGGTAGTTCAACCGCCAAAGGGGTCGCGACCCTCAGGTTGAGAACCGCTGCCCTAGAAGATAACTGGCTAAATCAAGAACTTGTCAAACGGATATACCTCAGCCGCGCTAAGATGGCGACTCCCAGGCATCGACTCATAGCCCGGAGACCAGCTGAAGCAAATAAGCAACATGTAAGATGTCAGAAATGTTGGAATTTGGACATTGGACTTAGGAATGCACAGGAAAAAGGAAAGACCTACATAGGCCTTCAAGAACAGCACAACTCAAGAAAGCTTTAAAAGAAAAGGAAAGCAGATTATTACTACAACACAGCATTGGAGAAGCTAATGTAGAAAGAAAGACGAAGAATAAAAGGTCTAAGAGTGTAACCAGCTCCAATAGCAAGAGCAGCGACAGGCCGGCCAGTGATGCTTCACCAGAGAGTGAAGAGACACCCACCTCACCCTCCTCTGTGGACAGAGATACTGATGGAGCACCTCCAGCTCATCGTCTCAGCCCCGCCCGCAGCTCGTCCTCACCCTGATTCACTCAGAGGCCACCTCTTCCAGTCGCAGCAGCAGCGGAGAGCAGCTCCGAAGATGAACCACCGAAAAAGAAGCAAAAGAAATAGAATCACTCTGCCTGCATTGGACTGAGGGACCATAGGCTTTCATCTGACTCTCAAAAGGGAATTTAGGATATGTTAAAGCCAAATAGGTTTACTGGCCAAAATTTTGAGAGCTCAGAAGTTTCTAAATATTTTACATTGTAAGAGCATAAAAAGTATTAATGAAATAGATAATGTATATATATACTTTTTTATTTTAAGGGTGAATCTTGTTTTTTGTTTTTATATTTGAAGTGTATCTCTAACACTTAATCAAAAGCTGAAATCCGGTAATTCTGTGTTTGTGGTAAAACTTCTTTTTGCCCTGGCCCACATGGCTCCGTTGGTTGAGTGGCAGCCCACGCACCGAAAGATGGCGGCTTTGATTCCAGTCAGGGCACACACCCGGCTGCCTGCTCACTCCCTGGTGGAGGGCATGCAGAGACTGCCTGTCCATGATTCACTCTCACATCGCTGTTTCTCTCTCTGTCCCTCTGTCTTCCTCTCTAAAAAAAATCAATAAAAAATCTTTAGACTAAAACAAAACTAAAACTTATCTTTCCTCCCTATGAAAACAATGCTATACTTTGTTATATGTTAGTGTTCTGTAGGAGACATATTTTCAGGATAATGCATCAGAATATCTGGCAGTGATTTCTGTGTGTTATTACGTCAGATTTAACACATTGTTATAAGCTTAGGCGTCTTTCTACTGTTGATAAATGTGCTCTGTTTTTGTGTTTTTGTTCAGAAAGTTATTTTGCCTTTTGTCTTAAATGAAAAGTTCAAGGAACCTCTCAATATATTTCTACCTTTTTGATGGTACAAGTTTCAAGTTACTGTGCTGTATCATTTATTTTCTTCTGGTTCTTAGCGTTACACTTGCCTGAGGAGCATCATTCTACAGAAACTTAAAAAGGAACAAAAATGTTGAAACTACTTAGGAATCTTGGTGCCTTTGGGTAAATTCAGTGTATCAGAAAAAGGTCATTTACAAGGGTAACAAGTAAAAGTGATATAAATATATTTTTTTGTGCGATAATATGCTATAAAAGGTACCATTCAAAGGGGGAAAGAAAGCAGGAGGAAGAAGGGTAATTTTTACAGAAAATGAGGGCGATGTTGGTTGCCTTTTGTTGAGATTTTTTAAGCTTCCATAAAGATTGCCTTTTACCACTTTTATGATTTTAGTAGGACAGTTTATGTGGTAACTGGTCATGTATAACAATGTACGTGCTACATAAATATGGTGTGTTAACATAGCACATACACAATTGAAATCTAGCATGAAAAGTTAAAAAATACTGCACAATATTTCTTAAATTGCTCTGCTGTGGTAAGAGTATTTAACATCAGCCATAGTAACCAAATTTAATATGATGATCAAATTCCCTAAAGAGAAGAGAAAGAAAAGATTAGTATCTCAAGGAAAGTGGACATTGTTACAGTCTCTTATCTTTCAAATGTCACCCTAGGAAAGAGAGCTGCTCTTACAGTTGCCTCTATACCCATCCCTTCTCCAGTCCTGCTCATCACCACCACAGCTTGCCTGTTTCTCCTCGATGTCGTGATTATTCAAAGTGTTATGTGAAGTTTTCCCCCAGAGGATCTTTCATCCCCTAACCCATTCCTATTCTGATACCTTCCCATTCAACATTGCAATGCCAGATTTTGTCTACCAGGAAGTAAAAAATAACTACAATAACGTGATGCACAATTCACATGATTCACACACTCTGCTCAAATGCTCACTAGGTTTGCATGCCCATCGCTACAGTCTATTCTCTAATATTTATATTTTCCAGAAGTTAGCCTCTGCCTAACTTTCCATCCTTATATATCACTGTTCTCTAAATATTATATATTTAGATATAATTATATAACATTCCTTTCAACACAATTTTCTCTTTGTTTTCCTAAACGCATTGCATGTTTTATCAATTCCCAATGTTTTCTCAAGCAATGAGCCCTGTGTAAATTGCCTGTTCTATTTTCTTTTGCATTTTTTGTTTTGTTGAATGTTCACTACATTTTTTTTAAAAAAGTAATCACTATATATGTAGTCTGTCTGCAATCTTTTGTGAATAATAGTGGCTATTGAAGAAAAAATACAAACACCCAAGCATTGTTAAATCCAGTTCCTTGGCTAAGATTATTTGACATTTCTGTGCAGAAATATAGAGAAAAAATAATGACATTTTAACTTGAACTTACCACTGAGCAAGACAAAAGAAACACTCATTCTGGAAAGTGTGGCCATTTGTAGCCCAAACAGGGGCAGCTGTATCAGGGCACTCGGGCTCATCTGGCGCATAAAGGAGATCCTAGGGAAGTACATCCTGCATGGGGCTGCAAGTAACAGGAAATGCCATGTAGATAATGACTGATGGATTTCTCCTACTTATTCCTATCCTGCCGCTACTGCCCCACATGGGCATAGCAACAAATATTACTGGTCAATTGATTTTTTTCTTTATTGATTAAGGTATTACCTATGTGGCCTTATTCCCCCATTGCCTCCCCACCCCACTCCCATTCATGCCCTCACCCCCTTGGTGTCTGTGTCCATTGGTTATGTTTATATGCATGCATACAAGTACTTTGGTTGATCTCTCCCCCTTACTCACTCTGTCTCTGGATCTGTTTTTGTTCATCGGTGTATGTTGTTCATGATATTCTACAATTGAGTGACATCATGTGATATTTATCTTTCTCTGACTGGCTTATTTCGCTTAGCATGATGCTCTCCAGTTCACCATTCACCATAGCTAAGATTTGGAAACAGCCTAAGTGCCCATCAGCAGATGAGTGGGTTAAAAAACTGTGGTTCATCTACACAATGGAATACTCCGCTGCTGTAAAAAAGGAGGAGTTCTTACCATTGCAACAGCCTGGATGGAGCTCGGTTGGTCTTTTCTAAGGGTTTTCTCTGCTCTGCTCTTCAGTCAGGCAGGTTTTAGTGTGTCTTTTCTGACAGCATGCCTTTGCCCATCCCACCATTTCTTCAAGTATGAGCATTGTGACACCTCAGCTTCAACCCCAATGCAAAGTGTTTTTTTGAACTAGGAGTCCCAGTGCAAGAAGCTCACCATAAGGAGTATGTGACCTAGAGGGTGTGTGAGGGCTTGTCAGAAACAGAGTTACAGGTACAGAGAACGGAGTGATGATGGTTGCCACGGCAGAGGGATTTTGGGGGACCGGGTGAAAGAGGTGAAGGGATTAAGTAGTACAGATTGGTGGTTACAAAACAGTCATGGAGATAGAAAGTACATCACAAGGAATATCTATAATAATAAAAGGGTAATATGCTAATTAGACCAGACATCCTTCTGGATGAAGCCAGGGCTGCAAGGGCCAAGCCCCTTGCATGAATTTCGTGCATCGGGCCTCTGGTCATCAATAATATTATAATAAGTATGCGTAGTGCTGGGTGGGCACTTGAAAATTTACGGTGATCATTTATGGAACTTATATGGTTGTATAACCACCATGCTGTACAGCTGAAACTAATATAAAATAATATTGC